TTTTTATAATAAAGTATTTAAAGTTATTTATATAGAAAATAATAAAGACTTTATAATTTATATTTATATAAATATAGGGCTTTTTATTAAATTCAGAAAGTCTAATTCTTTTAAGAATATCTATCTAGTACTTATATTATAAAATAAGAAAGTTTTATAGCTTATATAGAGTTTAATTTATTTCTATTATATATTACTATAGGCCTATTAGAATTTCTTTTTATATTAATAAATATATTTATAATATTAAATTACTTTATTTCTAAATTAAAATAAGCCATAATTATACTAGCTATTTAAAAAGACTTTATTATAAGTATAGTAATATATATAAATAGAAGTAATACCTTTTTTTTACAGATTTTTATAAATTATTATCTTTAAATAATACTAAATAATATATTTATTAGAATTAATTTTATATATAAATATTTATTTTAAAGAAATTAGAAATATATTTATTTTATTACTAGAAATAATTCTCTAGTAATTTTAGGCTTTAAGGTTATTAATCTCTAATTTAATATCTAATTTAAAGTATTTTCTAGCTAGATATTTCTTTAGATTATTTTATGTTTTTAGAGTCTTTAGAAAATTATTAATATGAATTTTTCTTATTATTATATTATTATAAGCTTTCTATTCTAGATATATTCTTAATTAAACTATTATTATAATTATAATATAAATAGTCTTATAATTAAATTTCTTCTTATAATTCTTTAGCTAATTAGACTAAAAAGATTCTAAAAGAAACTTTAAATAATTAATCTAATTTAATCTATTTATTATTTATAGTAATATACTTATTATAATAATTATATTATTATTAGCTTTATTTGAATCTCTATTCTAATTATTTCCCTTATATAAATATATTTGAATTAACCTATCTCTAGTCTTAATAATTCGCTTCTTTATTTATTTTCTTTTTGGTTTTACTACTTAATCTTCTATTTTAGCTAAGCTATTTGCTTTTTCTATAAAGAATTCTCTTATTTCTATTAAGCTTTCTGCTTATTTTATAAATAAGCTTTCTGCTTTGCTTATAGAAACTATTAGTAAACCTTATTACTAGTTTTAAAAAGATTCTTTCCCGCTTTTATTAGTTTAGTATATTTCCCTAATAATTCCGATATACTTTATTATATTTCTCTTTATAATACTAAGTCTTTTTAAGAGCTTGGTACTTTTATTTCTATTATTTCTAGGCTCTAGTATACTTTCTGGCTCTAAAATACTTCATAAAATTATAAGTTCTATTTCTAGTAAGGCTATAGAATTTCTTATTCCCGAGTTATAACTTATTAATATACTTATAGGCTTTTTTAATTATTAGTTTATTTACTTATTATTTTCTAGTTTAAACTCATTTTCTATTTATTTTAATAAGTTATTATACTATAATTCCTTATTATTAAAGATTAATTTAGTATTCTGGATCTTATTTTCTAGAAATTATTCTATTATATTCTTTATAATTTCTATATTATAGCTTTTAATATATTTATAATTCTTTTTATAGAAAATATTCTTATTATATATAATATTATATATAATAATTACTTTATTAAATACAGGAACCCAGATTTTATAAATATTAGATATAATATATCTAACTAAATATCTAATATACTTATATAATATAACCTTAAATACTTTTTTATTTTATTCTGTTTTGCGGTTTTTAATTATTAGATATATTTTAGAATTATATATATAGATCTTATTCTAATTAGGCCTGAGATTAACTATTATTTATACTATAAACTCTGAGTTATACTAACGGAAATAATTATAAAATTACGAATTAAATACTTTATTTAGTATTCTCTAATTATTTATATATAAGGAACTCTAATTATATAAGTAAATTGCAGCTATAGAGCTTTTTAACTATAGCTTTTTAGGCAAATTAATTATTAAATATATTATAATAGCCTTATTTATAATCTCTTGCCTTATTTATTTAGTATTACTATTTAGCTTATATATATATATATAAAAGAAAGCTTGATTTTAATGCTTTTTTCTTTTATCTAGATCTAATAAGCTAATATTTCTTAGATTAGAATAACTACTTTCTTCTAATTATACTTAATATAAGTAATTAAAGATTATATTACTTATATATTTATTATTTAAAATCTCTAATTATATTAAATACTAGTAAATTCTCTTTATTTAATAGAAGATATTTAAAAAGCTTTCTACTAAATTCGTTTTTAATTATTAGAATCTAGCTCGAATTATTATAGTTATTTAAGTAATTAAATAAGTCTTATAAGATTCTCTAAAATAATTAAGTAAACTTTTTCTTAATTAGCTTATATTAGATTACTTATCTAATATATATCTAAATATAAGATTTATATAAAACTTTTATTAGTTTATTAATTTTTATATTATATATATAATTAATAAGCTAGATACCTTATTTTTATATACTATTTTTCTTTTAAATTATTTCTCGGCTTAAAATACTTCTTTAATCTCTTATATTAAGCTCTAATTAAATATTTAAGTATTAGAAGTATAAGTATATTACTAGTACTAGTAGGAATTTTAAATAGAATATTAAAATAAATAAAAAGCAGCTTATATTTCAGGAAAACTAAATTAAATCTATATTTTAATTATATTAATATTACGTTTTCTTTATAATTTTCAAGTCTAATTATAAGATTATATTTATAATACTAAACTTTCTTTTTTATTAGGCGAGCTTTAGAAATAATATTTATATAAAATCCTTTAATAACTATAATATTATAAAGAATTAGATCTTTAATATATAATTCCGTAGGTTTATTAATTATATTTTTAATTATATAAGTATTATATCTAATAATTAGAAAACTAGTTATTTTTGCTTTTATATAATTATTAATTTTGGCCTTAATAAAAGTATTAGAATTAATTAGATTCTTATTATTAACCAGGTATATAGTATTATAGTTATCTAATAAAGTATTCTAAAAAAAGTAAATATTTTAAGAAATCGAATATTATATAAATTCCCTAATCTAGGCCCTGGATTATAAGTATTAGATTTACTAAAGTAATATTAAAGTTCCTAAAATATTAGGTTTCGGATACTTTAAGCTTTTTTTTAGAACTAGTACCGGATATTAGTTTCTCTATAACTCGTTTACTAGTAATTTTTATATTATATTTCTTTTCTAGTTAAGGTTTTAGATTTTTCTAATACTTAATTAAAAGCCTTTCCCGGATCTTTCTAATTTATTTCTTATTAGGCTTGAATTTTATTTAAGTTTTATTTAATTTAGTAATTATAATTTCTATAATAGTATAACTAAATAGGTTCTATTAGTATTTAAAGTTCTTAGTATTCTTATAAAAATACTTATAATACTTATACTTATTTAAATCGGGTTTGCTATCTAATTCTTTACTAGATTAATTCCCGAATATAATAAAGATTATAGAAGCTCCTGAGTATTTAGTATTCTAATTTTCTAAAATAATCTAATTAAATACCTGGCTATATTATTCGAATATAAGAATTAAAAGCTCTAGTTTATCTTTATTATTTAGATTAGTATAAGTTTCTGCTAGAAGGCTATTAAAAACTTAATTATTACTAAAATACCTTTAATTTCGGTGATTTTAAAAGCTCTAATATAGTTAAATGCCTTTTCCTAATTAGTAAACTAGTATTTTAGGCTTATTTCTTCTTTATTTATTTATAATAGAACCGAGCTATATACTTTTCGAATAGTAGTAATTTATACTATATTTTATTAATAAAGCCTTAAAAACCTTATAAATAGAGCTTTATTTACTCTTTTTAAGTCCCAAAATAAAATTTAGAGAAATCTCTATATTAACTATTTAATAGAGCTACTATCTAATTATATAGTAATATACTAGCTTATTTATCTAATCTAGTTTCTTAATCTCATAGTCTTATAAAAGTACTAAATAGTAATTTCTAATATTCCCGAATATTATAGGCTATAGAGATATTAGTTTTAATTCTTTCTTAATTATAAATCAAATATCCTTATTCTAATTCTCTGCTTTAACTTAGTATCTAATATAGTAATTCTTTATTTCCTTTAATATAAGCTCATTAATTATAGGAAAAGGCCTAGAAAGAGCTATTATATTTATTTTAATTACTTTATTATTAAATAAGTTAATTTTATTCCAGATACCCTTATTATTTACTATTTTATAGAAAGTATTAAACTAGTCTATTCAGGAACTATAGTTTTTTAGAATAATAATCTTAATTATAGCTTCTAATATAATTATAATTAAGCTTATAGAAATAGTAGAAACTATAGGAATGGTTTCTATTAAGTAGTTAATAATGGAAATGCGAACTGAAGTATAATTTTCGAAGAAATAAATTAAATAAGCTCTTAAATACTCTCTGTGGTATATTAATTAAAAAGCTTATTAGTATGAGGCCGGGCTTATAACTAATATATATAAAGATTATAGAATAGAGAGTTATATTAAATAGTAAAAGAATTAATTAAACTAGCTAGAAAAGAGCTTAAATAAAGTATAAAGCTTCAGGAAGTAAGTATATAGATCCTAACTAAGCAAAGCAATTATACTAGCCCTAATTCAGTAATTCTTACTATAATAATATATAAGCTATATTTATATAATTAAGTATTAGAAATAAGGGCTCTTATATTTATATTTACTTTTATTTTTATAAGTATTTATAAAGTTTAATATATCTGAATATATAAATAAGATTATATATATTAAGTAATATTCTTATTATAATCGACTTATTCGCTTCTAGAATATTGAAATAGTAAGATATAAGTATAATGTTTTTCCTTAAATATATCTTGTAGTATTAGTTATCTTAAAAGCTATATAAGTTCTTAATATAAGAGCTCGTGATATAAGAAGCTCGTGGTATAAGAAGCTCGTAATAAAACCCGCTATTATACTAAACTACTTGTATGCTTTTGGGAGTAACTAGTATTATTATAATATTATAAGTATTTGCCTAAACCTTTAGAAACATGTAGACGACACGAAGCCCCTCTAGATCGCCCTCCTTTGTGTCCATTAGCTCTCTATTGAAGTTAAACCCTCTACCAAAGTCAACTAGCCACGCATTATCCTCTCTATCAATCAGAACGTTTCTCGGAGTCGCATCGCCCCATATCACCCCTTGGCTGTGAAGTTGTCTGATTGCCTGCTTGATTTGACAGGCCCATTTCTCCCTCCTCGAGGATGAGGTCGTGTCTATATCATCTCGGAGCTCGTAGAGATCTCTGAGGTCATGGTTTGTTTCGATATAGTTCGTGAGAAATCCAATCACCCCCTCGCCCTCCTTTAGCCCAACCAGCCCTTCGAGTCTTGGAACCCGATGTAAAAGACTCAGGCCCGTATCTCTTATCTTCTGCAATACCTGGCAGTCTCGCGAGATAGGAGGCAGTTCAAAGCCCCAATCCGCCACCTTGCAAAACCATACTTGTCCCCCTACTCTAACCTTGAAGGCTCTCTTTGGCCGAATGGTCTCGAAGATTTCGACTTGTGCTAGGCGAAAGATTGGTAAGTCTGCGCTGACACCAGACATGTCCTGAGGCTCAAAGTCAACCGTGGGCTGAGTAAAATCTTCGCGCCGAATCAGTCTCGCTTCTCCATCGACAGTTAGCATCTGGAGCCAGAATGTTTCGGGGTTTAGGGCCTCCTCAAGGGTTTCTGCTCCTGCTAGCTCACTCGTAGGTCCAGCCAGCTCGCGGATGATTTGTTCGCCCGTTGCGAGGACAAGATTATGGATCTGAGTCAACGCTCGGTCTCCCACGTCGTTAAGGGTGCCGTCCTCGGAGATTCCCATATTCAACGCGTCAAGGTACTTCGCTTCAATAGCGTTCGGTGGATTGTAGCCCGCGAGTGGACCTGGTCTTTGGCTAAACTTTGATACAAAGGGGCCGGGATCGAACCCATATCTGAGCGAGACGGAATCCGGGTCACCGCCCACCGGCATTAGTGCCACATGGAAAATCTTCCGATTGCACTGGAGCGTGAATACGCAGGGCTTGTCAATCCCAAATCGCACAGCGTAATGGTAAATGCCGTTGAGGTAAAGCCTATCGATCTCGGGCCCAGGAAAGGGGGCTTCATGTATTGTTGACATCTTGCTCTATATCAAGGAGAGTGTAGTTCTGCTCGGAGAGAGCAGGTGGGAGGATATAAAAAGAGGGGGAGGAAGGGGAGGAGGTTGGCTTGAGGTTATGGCGCCGCTCGCTATCTGAAGGGCTGAGCAAAAAAGGATATTCAAGTCGTACCAAGAATTCAAGTTAATGTTTGAAAATGTTATTCCGATGACTGGTATCGAAGGAGCGATCCTCGGGGTTTTTATAAATGTGAAGCTGAGTCGGGGCTTCCATTATCTGATTAGGCATCTTATCCTATTAGCTCGCTAGATAAGCAACAGCATAATCCTGCAGGCACTGTCCTCTTATAAACCTACATATTTACACATTGCATATTAGTACACTGCATTTCTTTGCATTGCAGATACTAAAGTCCGTGCCCATTGCTGCAATCCCCTTCCTCGTACTTAATAGGGTTTAAATTTTTTATTATTAGCAAGTGGCTTACTTTACTCGGGCTGCATAGTCATACGTCACTTAGCTATGCGTTTATGCAACTAGCGACCCTTAGAGTGACGCTGCTATGCATATACTTGCAGGCAATTACGCACCCAGTTCCGGCCGGCTCGCTAAGCTCTCTGGTTACACCAAGTCCGACATTTCAGTAATTCCGACATCGATTTTCAGTCGTTTTTATTCTATTAAAAAATAACCACACATCTAATTGTCGGTTCACCAGGAACGCGTAGTACCGTTACGTAATCGTGGAATGCTATTTGCGTAAGTTGGTAAAGTGGTTATTGTTTAGAAGTAAGGATCGCAGTATCGTGGTATTGATATGTGATCCCTAAATCTGCTAAGCCTAATGGGGACTAGCTACCGGTCGAGTCACCCATGTGACGCGAGGTCATATGATCGTTACCCGTTGCCCATGTCCCGTTGCCTCTGGTTGCCTTTACGTTATATGACTGCGTTATATGACTATTAATAACTATACTAATACTGGAACCTCTCTAAAAACGTAAAAAATAGTGCTCCCCTCCGATCGCATGCAAATTCCCTAATCCGGCCTAGTGCCAGATTTCCCAAACGCTCTGTATAACCATGTTGCTTTTTGAGGTTTTGGTTATATGCCAAAGGCTGCGGCCTTTGCACGTGACTTCCCCTCCTATAATATCTTTCTATCCTATACAGTGTAACCTCGATATAAGGATACTCGATATAAGGATATCCTTGACATAAGGATACCACCTTAGGATCCCGATAAAAATTTGCCCTGAGCTAAGGATATCCTTGCTATAAGGATTATCCTTATGATTTTGTATCCCGGCCTTGATTTTTTGGTGTTTTATCCTTATAATCGTACACGTAATAGGCTAATTTACCATTTTTATCAGGCCTTCAGGCACCAGTAAACCTGCATTCTAGGCATTAATCTCACTGCTCCAGAGCCTTTATAGCCTATTACCCTCCCCTCCACCGATTCTATGGCCCCCCCCCCACCGATCCTATGGCTTCCCAACAGCCTAAAAAGAGGCGCAGAGCGATGACAGAGGCCGATCGACGAGCCGTACGGCGATGGAAGCAAGCAAATCCAAAGGCTACATACGAGGATATAATCAAGTGGTTTGATCAAGAGTTCCACCACAAGATTGGCCAGTAAACAGTCTCGACTACCTTGAGTACCAAATACGATTATCTCGATTCCGATATACGAAACGATCGATAGCTTACTGCCGTACGTACGAGCAAGCCAGAGTGGCCTGCTCTTGAGTTTGTCTTATTTGAATGGCAACAGAGACTACAAAAACACAAGGCTATAATAACGGGTAATTTGCTCAAGAGCAAGGCACATAAGATCTGGAACTAGCTTCCTCAATATCGAAATAAGCAAGAGCCCAAGTGGTCAAACGGCTGGCTTTCCAACTTCAAACACAGATTCGATATCAAGGAATACTCTTTCCACGGCGAAGGAGCAACTGCAGATATCGATAACCTATAAATAATCAAGTAAATGGAGGAATGCCGAGTACTAGCAGCCACATACCCTCCTGAGAACGTTTTAAATATAGATGAGACTGGATTATATTAGAAAATGTCCCCAAGCCGTACGCTTATAATAGAAGCAGGAAGTGGAGGAAAGAAGAGCAAAGATCGAATCACGCTTGTACTTACTATAAATGTAACTAGTACAGACAAGTGGGAACCATGGCTAGTAGGAAAATCGAAGGATCCTCGTTGCTTTGCGAAGATTAATCGTCGATTACTTGGAGTTCAATATCGGTATAATAATTCCAGGTAGATAACAGGAGTAATTATGGTCGATTATCTTTACTGGCTCAATAATAAGTATTACGCACAGAATTGGCACGTTCTTCTCTTTATAGATAACTTTTCAGGGTACGAAATAGGCATTACTCTCGTTAGTGGAAAGACTGCTTTATTGTACGTACGGGTTGAATGGCTTCCTGCAAATACTACCTCCCACTAGTAACCATATAATTAAGGTATTATTAATACCCTCAAGCTCCATTATCGCCGCTAGTAGATAGCCTATATGGTTTAGTAATTTAATTAAAACAAGGACCCTAATAAGTCTGTTATACTGCTTTATGCCGTTAATTAGACAGTTTACGTATGGAATAACTTTATTAAGTAATCTATAATCATTAATTGCTTTTACAAATTAACTCTTATTCAAAAACCTACTCTTGGTAAAGATCTTAATACCTACGGCGAAATTAATCAGGAATGGCTTACCTAGTAACAAATTAATTAATAGATAATAATGAGCCTTGATTCTATAATTTAATAAACTCCCCAATTCGTTAATCCCCTTTCTATTACCGAATTTATCTCCTATCCTGACGAGATAATTATGGAAGAAGAAAGCGAATTACTAAGTATAATTATTAATCGATATACAGAGGCAGATCCAGAGGATATATAATCGGATATTAACGAAGAGGAATAAGAGGAGCAAGAGGAGATCAGACAAATCAAGCTTACTGAGGCTATAGCTATACTGGATCTCTTGAATCTCTTTGAGAAATAATAAGAGAGTGGTCAAATTAAAGTTATCCGCAAGCTAGATACTATTAAAGCAATAATCTACTAGCGGAGGGTATAGCAAGCTCGTCAAGCTATAATAGACTTATCTACGGGTAATTGGAGTATTATAAGGCATTAGGGTAGAGAGGTTATTTATATATCTTCAAATCCTGGTAATATTTCTATTTTTATATGTATATATATGATTTCCTCGATATAAGGATACCTCGCATTATCCTTAGCTTTTTGGGACAATTTCGGTATCCTTATATCGAGGTTATACTATATGTCCATATTCCCTAATCCGGCCTAATGCCAGATGCTTAGATACCAGGTACCCAGATACCAGATGCCTAGATACCAGATGCCAAGGAAATCTCTATATATATTCTCCTATTCTATATATCTATTTCCTGCTCTATTTATATTTGACTCATTTCTCTATATTTAATTATATGGTATTTATATTAATAAGGCGCTTGAGAGCGTTTAATAGCTTTAATTTTATTATAAAGTTAGTAGAATTCGATTCTCTCTTAATTTACTTGATTTCTGTAATCTTTTATTATTTATATACCTAATAGAGATATATTATATTAATTATTAAGCGTTTCTCTCGAGTAGTATCTAATTTAATAAGGTATTCGTATAATAACTTCGAATCTATATAAATAACTAGTAATAGTTCTATTTCTAGTATTTTATTAATTATAAATTTAACTAAAGCGCCTATATTAAAATCTTAAGCTATATTATAAAGTTCTAAAGCTAGAATACTTCTAGTAACTTTTTTGTATTTAGTAGAGAACTAGTAAATAATATTAGTATATCTAGTTTTATTTATTAGAACTAGAATATATCTGATTTGAGAGAAGAGATCTCTATTATTTATAAATGAAGTATTCGTAAAAATAATTAAATATAAGAACTTTTTTACTAGCTTTATAAATCTTAGTTCTTTAGTAATATTTTTAATTTATTATTAAATATCTTTATATTAGTTTCTGAAAGTTTAATAGCTTAAGTATTAATTAATAGGATATATAAAGCTTTTAGTTAATAGATTAATATAATATATACTTCTCTAGTATATTAGGTAATATATTAGTTTTTAATAAAGAGATTTTAATAAATAGTATTCCTATTACTTATAATAGTAGTATTTTTTATAGAAATAATTTAGAGGTTTTTATATTAGTATTTCTATATAAAAGTAATTTTAGTAATATTTATATAAATAATACCTCTATTAAACTTGAAATTATAATTAAAAATAAAAGATTTATATTCTTTAGCTAAAAACTTAGCCTTTTAGAGCTTTAGTTATTTTGCTTTTATAAAATTATTAGTTTAAAGATTAATAATTCCGAAAAATTACTTATTATAGAAAAGACAAGAATCATAAGTTAATTATTCTATAAAAAGCTTATTAATATAATAGAAATAATAAGTTTTAAATTAGTAGTTTCTAGCTTCTAGTATATTATATAGTAGTTTTATAATCTTTAAAATAGAATTGTTTTTTAGATTTAGCTTTCTAGTAAATTTATAAAGTAAATTAATATAGAAATTATAATTAAGTAAAGTTATTAATTAGATATAAGCTTATAAGATATTATATAAATATAATTTTATAGTATTTATTATTATAATAATAATATTAAAAATAATTCTCTGGCTAATATATTAAATAATAAGTAATTATATTAATATTATATATTTTTTATTATTATTATAGGCTTAAATAATTAGTCTCGATTTCTTAAGCTTTTTCTTTATATTTTTATTCTTAATCTTATTAATAAACCGGGAATTAAAAATATATATCTCTTTTAATATCTGAGATCTAGAAATAACCTCAAATATATCTTTTTCTAAAAGGCTAGTAATTTTAACTTAATAGAAATCCTTATATAATTCGTTATTCTATAGAAATACTATAATATCCGGAGTCTTATAAGAATATTATAAAAGGGAAACTATAATAAGACAAAAACTTATATAAAGTATACTAGAGTATAAAACGTGACTTAATAGTAAAATAATAAATCAAAAGCGTAAATAGTAAAGTATAAATAGTATATAGTATATAAAAACTCAATTAATTAAATATTTAAGAGGGATTATTCTCTAGAACTATAGAAAAACCAGCTTTCTTATATAATTTCTGCAAGTTATATATAAAAGGCTATAGTCTTTATTATATAACTAAAACCTTAAAACCGCTAAAACAATACGATTTTTGGAAAGTATAGCCTGCCGTACTATAATATTCTTTATTATATTTTAGTGAAATAGTAAGAATAATAGAAGGAATTATACTTGTATTATTTTTAGTTTTATTATTAGATTCGGGTTCAGGTTCGGGGCTATTAGTAATAATCTTAATATCTCTTATATAAAAGGGCTTTATAAAGATTAAATAGAAAATAGTATTACTATATAATAGAGCTAGTATATAGTTCTTTCTATTAATAGCTACTAGCTTATATAATCTATTCTAATTATTAGATTAACTAATATTTCCTTTATATTAAATAAAAATATTCAAATTCAGAAATAGTTTATAGATATTAGTAATACTAGAACTATTTCAGGTATTTAAAGTATTTGTAATTTAATATCTAGCTTAAAGCTTCTAAATTTCTATTATTACTTTCTTAAATATTACTAATTATTATAATATAATAAATAATAGAATATTATATTTAGTTATTTAAAATAAAATACTATAAACTAAAAGAATTAAAATAATACTATTAGGTTCTATAGAATTATTAATAGCCTTAAAAGCTATTTGAAATATAGTATCCTTATTAATTCCATTAATTTTAGCTATAATAATAAGATAAATATATTAAATCGGGCTATAATAATATTTTATAATTCTAATATAATTATAAGCCTTTATAGAAATAATCTTAACCTTAATTCCTATAATATTCGCAAGCTAAATAAACTTCTTATTAGTAAACTATTTTCTGGTATTTACTATAATCTAATTAAAAGAGCCTAAATAGTTATTAATCTAGTATTATTTAAATATATTTCAAATATATATTATACTAATATTCTGGAACTATTAGCCGGCTTAATATTAAATACCTTTATTAATAATATAAAGTATAGGTTTATTAGAAATATAGAAAATATTAATAATAATAGAATAATTAAAGCTAATATTATTTCTTAGATTAAACTTGAATTATTTAAATAATTAGCTATATTTCTAGTATTACTTATAATACTTTATAAAGTATTTAAGGGCTTTTATATTAATATTATAACTTATTTATTCTAGTATATTCCGGAGTTTATTAATAAATAAATAGCTAAATTAATAATATAGATATTATAATTTGATTTCTATAAAAAAGTAAGAGTTATAAATAAAAAATTCGGAAATAAAACTTTATAATATAGTATTCTAAAGCAAAAAAGAATATCTGAAATATTATATTATAAGTATATAGTTTCCGGTAAAAGTAATAAAATAATTAATAAAATTATTAAAATAGATTTCTAGTTTATTTATATTAGCTAAGCTAAGTAAAAATAGAATCTTTAAAAATATAATATGAAATTATATTTACCTAATTAGTATATTTACTATTATAGATCTAATAGAAAATATAAATCTAATACTGAACTAGATATTAATTTGGCTTTTAGTAGTTTTATTAAGTTTAATACTATTATTAATTTACTAGAAAGCTTAGAATTAGTTAGAACTAGTAATTAAATATCTAAAAGCTCCGGTATTAATTATAATTCTATAAAAGTAATAAGTATTATATTTTAATATATTATTAATTATAAAAGTCTAGGTGTTTTCTATTAAGAATTTAATAGATTCTAAAGCATAGTTTTTACTTATTATCTAGTATATAAAAAAAAAGAAATAAGGTTATTTATAAGAATATTAGCTATAATTATTAATAAAATAAAAGCAGTAAAAGTAGCTAAAAAGCTCTTAATTAAAATAAAATAGAAATCTGAGTAATATTTCTTTTCTTTATTTATTTCTACTAATAAAGCCTTAAAAGTATTATTTACTAATTTGTTTTTATTATTCTTATTACTCTTTTTATCTTTGGCTTTAATAATATACTATATATTAATATTACTAAAGTATTTATTAAAATTACAGGTATTTCGAAATCTGAACTAATAAATATTTCTATTTCTAAATTAAGTCTTTTTAGCTTCTTATTTTTATAATATATATTTCTATAAATAATATTCGGATTTCTTATATATAAAATATAATTTCGGAATATAATTATTATAATTACGGGATTTAGAATAGTTATTACGGGTTCCAAAATTATAACTAGATTTATATTAATAATTTCCGGAAGAATAATAATTTAGAGAATTCTAAAAATAGTATTATTAATTAGTAAAGAGAGTTTCGGAATTAGTTTATTATTT